TGGGACAGCGTAACACTGTAAGGTCAGTGTATTCCAGTGATCGTGTTAGTAGTTGGCGAGATACCCATGGTCCCTCACCTAGCAGAGTAGTTATTGTCAAAACTCACCATAAGGAGCAACGAGTTTGATGCTGTTCATAACTTTTCCTGATTACTTACTAGAAACAACATTTGGCCTTACTAATTTCGTGTACTCTGATTCCTGATGTTTTCCCAATTCTTCTTGATTCTGCTGGAGATTTCAAGATATTAATTGGGAACAAATTTCAGAGGAAGTGCGTCAGAGTTGCTTGTGAAAATGCGCAGTCGCTTCCAGCATCGAGCCACTGAACCAGTCTTTCATACACTTGCTACAAAAGCACCGGAGGTCAGGTACGTTATTTGCGTCGAGCTAAGAAAAAGTGATGCAGAAGTGAACCTCAGACAAGTGGGGTAGAAATGTTCTCTGTCATAACAATTGTAATAACTTAGTCTACAGGGTGGGCTATATAATCCGGAAACATGAAGATTGTCATAACAAGCAGTATGGCCGAGAAAATTCAAACTTTCAACGCCATCATATTGATGGAATGCTATCAAATAGGGAACAATATAACTCCTCTGGTGAATAAATGAAGACTCCTAGGATGTCATCGACGCTACTGTGTAAGTAGGTGTTATCGAGTTGATCCAAGCTTCTTCGAGTGACTGCTCAACAAATTGGTGTCCCTACTATGCTTGTAGTAGTGTTTTGCCTTCGCTGCACTCAGTACATAAGATTTTGATAGATCTTGTTGGGAGAGCTGTACTTGCAACACACATAACCTTAGTTCCACTACAAATTTCCCAAAAACTTGAATCTGGGATGTTTTTGAAAAGGCTCTACAGATAAATTGTGACACATAAACGCGAATCTGAATATTAACACGGAAATCCAGTTTGAGAAAGCAACAATTTTTATCCTCATTTTTTCGAAAATACCGTTGTCTATGACGCCAAATTATCAGTTCCACCTCATGTTTCTCCGCTGCATTTTGCTTCTACTACCGGAAACACGATCGAATTTCGAAATTATCACTCATTCAAGTTCGTTAGCTCATAGCAAAGGCAAAACCGCTGTCAGACTTCCGTAAAAGGGATATTGTTTCGGTGGTGGTAGTACACAGTGAATGCCGATGCTTTATTCCGGAGGGCGACCTTTCAGAATGGTCGCTGATGACCAAAGTAACCTTACTAGCTCATATCATCTACTCTATATCTTCACAGATGATAAGCTTATCGGTTTTGATAACCAAATCATTCTGCAACGTGTATTGACTTGTGATCATTGCAGCACTAAGCTGCAATACTGCCCCGGCGTGTGAGAAAGTGGCACTCGATTCTGAACAGAATTCAAATCATGAACAAACCAAACAATTTTATACAATAAACAACAACAACAAAAATCATTTATGCGTAGCCAAGAGTTCTCATGCGTATCACTGAATCTCGTCCAACTGGCGATATAATTCTTTGATGCGTTCCTTGGCGTTTTTCCTCCTTTCAATTGCCTCCTTTATTCGTCTTCGTATGTACTCACTTTTTTCCGGTAATTCACATAAAGCCGAGTGATGACCATATTCGTTGCAGTGAAAGCATCTCAAGCCCTTTTTTCTTACAAACATGGTTTTCGGAGTTTATCCTCAAACAAGTTTTACAAAGATCTTCTGCTTCAACGATTTTCAGGCGCTCTTTCGAGCTTGGGTACGCTTCACACGAGTCTGAATAATGTTCACCTACTTTCCCGCAGAAGGTACACACCATGCCTCTTTCATCCTCTCTTTGGATGATCCCCTTTCTGTAGTCTCTTGGGTTACATGTCGGTTCCATGTCTAGTTCGTAAACGATGTTTTCCATCTTTTTCACTTCTCGTTCTGCCTCTTCCAAATCATTCCATATTCTTTCTTTCCATAACTGATTCGGCGTGGTCACTGAGTCTCCATTTAATTCATCTTCGGTCATATCCTGTACTCCTTCCATGTACTCGGCGTTTATTCCTTATTCTGTCACTTTCAGTCTCGCTGTACATCTCATCGTCTTCGTCCCTTGACGGTAGCTCCTTGTAACGATTATCGTTACCCTCACCGGCCCAATGCTCGGCTTCGTCGTCCAGTGTAGAGCGTGTATTTTTTCGCATGCTATTCTGTAACAGTGTCGTGATTTCTTCCTTGATGTCCATCAAGATCTCTGTCGATGGTTTGCTGTCTTTCTCAAGGTGTGATTCTTGTTCGAGTGTCTCTCTCAACTGATTCAAAGAGGCAAGGACGGTAGTTTGGAAGGTGCGTGTTGCCTTGCGTTCTTCCTCTTGTAGCATTCTGCGGTAATCGTTGAGAATGGATTGCTGTTCGTGTAGGATCTCCATTTGGTCTTCAATAACGGTCTCAATCGTCTCATGTTTCGTAAGTATTGAGTTCTCCTCCTCATCGAATTGCGTTTGTGAGATGATCGCTTTCCAATTGTTTTCCGAAATGATGTCCGTGGCAATGAGAAGTGGTGGTACTGCGAAAAGAGTACGGAGTTCCGTGCGAATTAGCTTGAATTCGAGAAGTGTCTTCTCCGTTAGGGTTTCAATAAGTTGGAGTTCCACCAGTTTTTCTTTCCAGTCCTCTTGCGACTTCCAGAGATTCTTAATGCGTTCCATAAGCGTGGACATATTACGCGTTGTCTTATGCAGGTGTCTGCAGCAGTTGACTATCTTCTTGTAAAGTCGCGTAGGTGACGGGAGTGGTGGCAGTGCGTGTACAAGGCGTTTATATTTTCGTTGGAGTTCTGCATTGTATTGTATAGGTACATTATACATTATAC